TACCTACCTGCAAAATTTCAGAAATTTTAAGCAAAAAGCACGGGAGTTATTAAGCTTTAAAGAGGGCGAAAAAAACGTGCCCTCCCCTCACACAAACATTAGCATCCATACATAGAAGAGAAAATACCCAACATCTGGGAAAGTAAATATCAAATTTCCCTTCATTTATGAGCAAAAGATTATATGTTAAGCAAAATTAATTATCAGTTAAGTTTTTTTATATAACTTTTTATCTCAACTTTAAATCAAATTACGAATTTAATGTATTTTTTCTTAAATTAGTTAATTTCCCCACTTTTATTTTTCCAACTGTTATATATAACAGAGGGAAAGCATGGTTATCGATTTAAAAAAAATTGATTCCTCAAGATTTTTACATTTTTGGGCTCAGGACACCGTAGAACATCGAGAAATGCAAAGAATTCGGGCTTTTTTTCGTATACAGTATATGTACATTAGACCTCCCTCTAACACTGTTGATAATTCCGTGTTATATGAATTCCATGTTGTACGAGTCACTTAGATTTTACAAATAAGTGTGCCGGGCTGTAAACGGCTCACGTATTTGTAAAATCTAAGTGACTCGTACAACATGGAATTCATATAACACGGAATTATCAACTGTGTTATAGGGGGGTCTACTTGTATGTTAGTGTATATGTGGAAAACGATTTTGTTCGCCCTCTTTGAAGCTTACTAACTCCTGTATTTTTCGTCAAAGATTTCTGAAATTTTGCAGGATGGTTTGTTTATTAGGGGGATGGACAATCTCCGAAAAATTCGTGAAGTTTGTCATCTGCATTCGATCCTGGATCCTCAGAGGCTGTCACCTTAACCACTCGGTCATCCGGCCTTCGCCCTGTGTGCACTAAGAAGGCTTTTTCAATACCCATTATGCCTTGCCCAGGACTACAATGAAGGCAATCGGGTATTGAGGAAGGGAACCCAACATATCTATAAGAGATCGCCCATGAGGAATTTCTGGAATTGTCTGCCCCTGGTTCCTTAACCGCACGGTCATCCAGTCGTCAGTTAGTTAATTAATTAAGCTTACTCGTTAGTGGTATATATTTTTTTATAGATAATAATGGATAAAAGATTGAACAATCTGGAGAAGGATCATTAAAACATTTACTCCATAAAAATAAGATAATATAAGTATATTTCTACTGTTTGGTTTGAAGAAATGCGTTGGATTACAGTCGACCCCCCTATAATTACGGTCCCTATAATTACGATTCCTATAAAACTACGAAAAAATATACGTATTTTGGAAATGTTGAGTCGGATTAGTGTAGAATCGATTAATTTTATGGAAGAAAACCTTTCAATCAGCCGTAGTCCGTAAACTTGACATGTGTTGGGCTGTGATTGGAACGACTTGTAAGAAATTGGATTCCTAATAAATTGGAACGTATCTATATCTTATAGGGGGGTCGACTGTATTTCCTAGAATCTTCATTTTGTTATTTATAACACTAGAACCTTAGAAACCTTAGAACATTTTCTTTAAACAATGATCTAATTGAATGATTTCTTATTATCAATGGTTAATTTATAATTTTAAAATATTTAAATACATATCAATTGATTTACTGTTATATAAATCATATTTAGGATTAATTTCAGTCGAAAATTAAGTAAAAAGACTTTCTTCCCTATTACTGATGCCCACTAATTAGTGAAGAACAATGAGATGACATTCACACTCTCTGAGGGATGAAAGGGAGAGGAAAAGGGAATTAAGGGGAAGTAGAAAAGAAATATGGATAGATAAGATAACAATTTTTGTTTTGTTTTAATGTTATTTAATAAGGATTTTCTTGAAAACCCGAGGAAATTACTTACGTTAATTGTATTACAGTCTGTTATAGACACTGTTGTATTGATACAATACACAGAATTGTTATTTTTCACCCAGCGAGGTGATGCCCATAAACAGTCAATTACAATCTTAATTAATCATATTTAACAACTAATTTTCTATTTTAAAAAAAAATCACATAAATACTGAATTATCATTAAATTTAAAACATTTTTTAGTTATTAAATAGGTTTTTTTTTATTAATTTAATTTAAATAAATTATATAAAATATCTTCTGAGAATCAGATGACTTTCATAGATTTTTGTCCTACTTTTTACATTCGAAAAGATAAAGAGATTATTGGAAAAAATTGGCAGGAAATAGGGAAGAAAACTCATGGAATAAAATAGGAAATTCTAAGGTAGAAAGGATGCAATAATTTTAAAGAGATAAAATTTAATTCTATTTAAATATTTATATGTAAAAAATTAATTAATTAATTAATTAATGGTTAAAATAAAATTAAAAGGCAATCAATTAGATGAACAATATTTATTCAAACATAGTCTACTTAATTATAAAAAACGGTATTGATTAGAAGTGACACAACACTTGTACAAAACTATAAAATAAAAATAAGCTAATCAGTACTTATCAGTTTGTATTTTTTT